GAAATCTGTTAAAAATTACTCAGGCTATCTCTACTTCAAATCTTTTATTGGCAGGCACATTGATTCCCTGGTGGCTTCCAAATCCACAAATAACTCATGATATTGAACATCTCAGGCTACTCTCATAAGGCTGTCACCAAATGGGTCAAAACCCCTCCACCACCTACCAAGTCCTGCTGCCTCAGACACCCGCACTTCACTTGGGTGCTTTCTCAGCTCTTTTACGTTTATCTGGCATAGCCATCTGTTTTTTCAAAAATCTACCAATGGTCTAATTTTTCAACTTTAGTTATATTTTGCTTTAGGATTAAGAGTCAGAAATAAACATCAGAGTTCCTTGAAACTACAACTTTTCTCCTACATTGTCAACACTTGTTCTCAGCAGCTCTCCCCATGCTCACAGAGATTACTGAATTGCATTTGAAAAATGTCTCCAGTTGCTTTTTAAGGATTTTCCATGCTGCATTTTCCCCAGGGCAGGGAGAAAGGCTGGCCAAGGGGGATCCTGCAGGAGTTTAGCCCCAGTTTCCTTCAGAGCAAAGCCCTCCAGGATTTAGCTTCCCAGGCCTGGCAGGAAATGCCAAAGGTTGGGGGGATGGGTAGGATTAAGTTTGAAAGAGGAAAAATCATGGGTAAAGTTATTCAAGACAGGTTTTGTGGGATCTCGTTGGAGGGGATGGTTTCGCAATGGGGAGTCATAAAATACAAATACACAGAACCTAAAAATGGCTGGGAATTTTATTTCTTGTAATTACAAAAACAAAATAAATCTATCTCTCAGTGGCTCTCCTATCCCCAGCAGTCAATGGATGAATGGGAACCTAGACTAGGCAATTTCTGAAGTCACTTCTCACTAAGCTCTCACCCTGACCAAGCCCATGGCTTTCAGGGTCTAGCAGGATGCCCCAAGCCCCATGAAGATGGGGCTACATCACTGCCTGTCCTCTCTCTACCCATCAGAAGCAGGAATTTCTTTCCTTATTTTCCAAATATTGCCCTTCCCTCCTCTCCTTTCTTGTAGCATTTCCGTGGAAGAAGTAGGACACAGGGGGTTGTGAGTTCTATTATTGGAAAAATAACGCAAGTGAGGTCTGGTGATAATTTCTAGGTTTTATCAACCATCTCTTGGCTCCCACTCTCTTCTGAATGCTATCTGTATTTCAAGGCCTACTTTTGTAGATTCCTCTATTTGTTCCTTTATTCTAAAAGGCACACAGCATAGTGCAATCTCAGGTGAAACAGAGGGTTTAAATTTGATTGAAATTTAACTTATTGTCCTGTCTGCCCTTTTTCACTACACTGGAAAAATGGAGCTTTTTCACTTGTTTTGGGTCCTTCTAGAGTTCAAGAAGAATGACTAGAGCACATCATTCAAGAGCAGATAGGCTTAGGACAGGAAAGCCCAAAACACTCTTTCATTTCAACTTGGTCATTCAGTGGGGTTCAGTGATCAGGCATGGCTAACCATTATGGTTGATGCCAATGGGGTTACACAAGTACCAGCACTGGTTGCCAAACCAGATATGGGACTCTCATGCTACAGATTTCCAAAAGCTGCCAGGGAACCTGTACTTAGCATAAGCCTAAAGTGCTGTGTAATCTATCAGGAAGTTCTCAAAGTAGTGTTTCCCAAAGAGCTGTTTCTTCCTACACACTAAAAACTAAGGCTCACCTAAAATTAATTAAGCATGACTTGACATTATTGCTGTCCTATGTATCAAAATTAAGTAAGAACGAAAGAAATCTTATTAGGACTGCAATCAAGTCTTTACGTTCCTGAATCATACATTAATCTTAGTCAAAACCAAGTTTGTGGTGGCTGAGGAGCTGTACTTTTCTTCTTTTTAAGAAAAAATAAGATTTGAGCAAGGCTGAACATTGGCTATGGAACCTAGCTCCCCTTTCTACCCCAAATAATACCCCAATCCTCTCTACCCTTAAACCTTGAGCTCTTTTCCTCCACTAGACCCCAAAGAGCTCCCACTTCCAAGTCCCCTTAGTTTGAATACCCCTACCCAGAACAGGACATCTCAGTGCTATTTGTTGCACAAGTTAGCATAACCTCCCAATCCTTACACAGTACTCCTTCTACTTAAGAATCATCTTCCATTTTTCTGATAATTCCACACCTAGCACCTACCTCACTCAGCGGAAATAATAGCTATTCCCTAAAACCGTACTATGGTGATCACAGAAAAAGCCAGTCTTAAAAAGTTAAATTGGAAGTGTTTAAAATGATTCTTCATAAGGTTCTTTTCATTAGCAAGTCAAGGTTCTGCAGTGAGATTAAATCATGTTGCACTTTAGAAAAATTAGATGAAAATACACTATGCTATGTAAAGCAAGGTATGCTACTGAGAAGTGATGCCATAGGAGAAGTGGCATAAACTTGTTCAGTAACTGTGGCTACCTGACATTGGCCTGAGGAAAGAGTCGGTAGATCTTTGAACTACAGAGGAGGTTTATTCTCTTCCCATCCTTACTCTCCAGTCATTCAGACTCCCAAACAATGTCAGTTTGACTATTATTCTGCCATAAATGAAATGCATGGTGTAATTCAATACCATTTTATGTTTCCAAAACTGTCACACGATGAGCAACCATGGCCTTAATATTCTACAGTGTACAGAGGGAAGCACTGCTGACACTGAAGATATCCATTGCTCTTTTTCACTCATTCACCAAGCTACCTTTCAATTGTGGCTTACTAAGATCCACCAAATTTTAAGCATTTGTTTAGACCCTTTACCTCAGATGATGTAACACAAGTTAGAAGTGGTTATGGTGGTCTTTACTGTTTTTCTTTTGACCTGAAAGCAACACAGAAGTTAAGTAATGTGACTAGTGATAGAAATTTACAAGCAGAGCAGAGCTATACCATACCTGTTGGTTTTTCAATGAGAAACAGTGGGGTTAGCCATTTGGCTTTGTACAGCTACATTTGCAAAGGAGTCTATTGCTCTCTCATTCCTGCACAAGCACAAGACAGAACCCTCACAACTAGACTAGAGCCTGGACATTTTGGCAATGTGTTCAGAAAAAGAAAGCCAATATGGCTCCCTCCCCAGTCTGCCACCTCAGAAAGTGAGAGAGATATATTATAAGGCTAAAGGAAGTGAGAAAGTGAGTTCCCTTGTGGAAGAGAAGGCCCCATTGGAAGGGGAGTTCCAGAGGCACTAGGTCACTGACTCTGCCAATGCTGAGTTTCTATGGACAAAAGACTTTTACTTCTCTGAACTCCCCTTTTTTTACTGGTACAAAAGGAGAATGAAAGAGATGTTTAAATTTTTTTTTAATTCCAAGATTCTTGTGAGGTTCTATAATAGGTAACATGTAAAATAAAGATATATAAGAGTTGATACATTTCTCATAAATCTAGATTTAAGCTATAGTGAAGAAGAAGAGAGAGTTGACCTCTTTATTGGGCTTCTACTAATGGTGGACTCTGCGTTTGCACACATACATGCACTCACCTAACCCACTAAGCATTGCACAACACACATCAAAAACAAGGATAGCTGGTAAATCCTGAACTTGCCCAGAAAAGGGTTAGATTACTATTGAATAGGGGAGTCTGAGGGAGGCTTCATAGACAAAGAAACACAAGTGTCCCTGAAGGATAAGCAGAATGACTTTGAGATGTTGCAGGAGATATTTCTCATTCTCCTAAGAGATTGGAGAGAGAGGAAAAATTCCATTAGATCAGTGTTGCTCAATGTGGAATAGGTGCTGGGTATGTGGGGGTGGGGTCTGGGATCAAATAAATTGGGAAATAGTAGATTAAACAAAAGTAATCTATTTCTTTTTTCATTGCAGGTCTCCAACAAACGAACGCATGTTAAGACTAAGTAAGGTCAAAACTGCAGTGTCCAAAATTATGGGCTTTAGAATCCTTTATTCTTATAACTTCTCAGAGTGATTACAGTTCTGAGAAACAGCCTTTGGGAAACTACCAAAGAGACTGTAAAGTCCCTGAGGTCAGGGACGGAGCCTGGTTCATCACTGCACCTCCAGTGCCTGGCACTGCACCAGGCACATTGGAAAGATTCAATAAAATAGAAAAAAAGATTTGCTGAATGAACAACTGAGTAACTCTTGGATCCTAAGCAAGAAGACTGGCATTTGGAAAAACATGATGGTGAAAGTATGCCAAGAAGCCAGAAATCACGTGCTCATGGTGCCACCCTTTTCTGCTGGGGCTCCAGACAGGCATGGGTAAGAGTCTGGAGTGAGATTATCTTTGCCTTCTAAGAAACCCAATCACTACATATCCATAATGCATCCTAGAAGACCTTAACTCCCTTAGCCAAAAAAAAGAAAAAAAAAGACAATAAAACAAGAGCTTCATGAAAGATATGTATATTTCTTTCCTTTTTAAGAATGAGTAGCAAATCAGAAATCACACTGTAGTCTGAGCTCTGTAAGGACTATCTTCCTGTCTTTGCTGCCACCTTCTGGTTCCCAGGCACTTACATGGCAAATTAAAAAATACCACCTGATGCTTGTAGTTCACTGTGGAATTTTAAGCATCTGTTTATATTCTTTACCTCATATTATGTAACACAAGTTAAAATGATTAGGGTGGCCTTTTCTCTTTTGCTTTTGACCTGAAAGCAACATAGAAGTAAAGTGATTTGACGAGTGACTAGTGATAGAAAGTTAGGAGCAGGGCAGGGATATACCACGCCTGTTGGTTTTTCCAATGAGCAAACACTGGGGTTAGCCATTTGGCTTTGTGCAGCTACATTTGCAAAGCATTCTACTGCTCTCTCATTCCCCCACAAGTACAGCCTTGAACGGAAAACCCCACGATCTTAGAAAAAGAAGATGGTGTTCAAATAACCCTTATCTTTTCAAGGGTAAAATTCACTCCACTTACAAAGTCTTTGAGAGAAGAATGTAGAGTGTGGAAAATATGTATTTTATCTGACAGCTTAGAACCATAATGTCCCAAAGTCCTACTCCAACATGGTGGTCAACCAGCCTCTTTGTAAGCATACCTTGGTCTGGAAGCAGCAGTAGAGTTGGGTTAAGTAAGGGTGTTTCCTTGCCAGAGCCAAAATTCTCTTCTCTGTCATTGTGCAGTCCACATCATCGTCCTGAAGGATGACATCCTTCTTTAAGACCTTCACAGCATACACTTCATCTTTGCCCTTGAGTTCTGCCAGCATGACCTACAATCAATCAAAATTGTCCCCATTAATCTATCTGTATGTTGACTCAAAGGAGGAAATATAATACTAAATATGTTAAAAAGAAATTTCTTTTTTCTTTTAGTTTAAAATAGAGTAGCATTAAAAACATTTGGGGGAAACCATCCTAATATAGCTACCGTAATTTCTTTATTTTTAATCTCTGGCACAGTGCTCAGGCAAAGAAGAGTTCAATGTACATCTATTAAGTGATTATTCATATGTTCATATCTACTGGTAATACTTGTAATTAGAGCAAAGCAAACATAGTATAGTTTTTACTTAAAGCTTGGCAATTCTCTTGCCTCAGCCTCCCAAGTGCTGGGATTACAGGTGTATAACACTACACTGGACACAAAGATAGTATAGTACTTTTTAAGAGAACTACTATTTTTTAGGCATTTTTCTACATGGCCTTCATCATTATCACAGTTGCTGATATTCAATTCAAAGTGAATATACTATAATTTATTTAGTTATCTCTCTCATATTAGAAACTTAAGTTTTATTTAATTAATCTTCATATAAATAAATTACATGAAGTCTTTTTGCACATAATTAAAAAATTTCTTTTGCACTATATCCTTAAAATCTCAATTAGATTAACTGGTTACACATTCTGCATATTTCCTAACTGATTTTCAAGCAGGATATATTCCTGCAGTGTGTCACTAGTTACTAGAAGTAATTTAGTTTCATGGTATTAACATCTGGTATTTTCACTTAAAAATGTTTATTTAATGTGGGAAATGTTACCTTGATACAGTTTTAACTTGCAATGAAACTTTCAAAATGTAATTGAATTTCTTTGAGGGGTTGAATGATTTGTCTGTCTCTTTTGATCAGTTATCTGCTGTCTTATACAATTTCTTGCTAATTGGTACACTTTACATAAAAATACTAGCCCTTTGCTTTCTTCAAATGTTTTTCTAAGCCTGTTTTATAATATTCTTTCATTTTTTTCCTATTGAAAAGCATCTTTATGCACTTAAATCTGTCCTTGTCTGCCTTATGGTTTTGCTTTCACATTTACAGCTGGAAATGTAATTCCTTCTCCAGAGGGCTAATTAACAGTTTGTTTTCTTATCATTGATATTTTTGTACTGATTTACCTATAAAAGTCACAAGCCTTCTTTTTAAATAACTAACTCCTAAGTACAGTATTTCAATGTTAGTTGTCAAAGCTAAAGAGCCCAGCTCAGAAACTTAGTAAGGGAATTCGTGATGTTAACCTGAAGACTTTTACCACCCACATAAAGAGCAGACTATAAAACTACCTCAAACCTTGGCTGCCATTTTTGCTGAGAAACCACCTGAGTGTTCCAGAATCATCAAAGATCCTATCCTGCCTACACCATGTGGAAATTCTGAGTGTACTCATTTCCCTTGAATTTTGCTCAAAATTAAATCTAGAGCTGCTCACAGCCCAGAGTCACACCTAAGCCAGAGGCCTGGGGTCTGTTTCTTATTTAGCCAGTCTCTAAAGAATGTGATTGCTTCAGCTGTTGCTACTTAAGTAAACTCTAGTTACCTCCCTGCCAGGTGATCTCTGGAGGCGATATGGGCAGGTGAGTTAGCTGGGAAGCAGACCTCACACCCTGGAACTTCTCAGAGTTTTCCCTTTGGAGTGTCTGGAATGGGCCTGAAGCTCAGCCAGTTGACTGATCTCCAGGCTGCTGCTTTCAAGAGTCCAGGAGAGATGGGGTCATGCTGTTCTCCTTCCTTCAAATCCCTGGCACTGCTGGTTCTCTGAGCAGAGCTTCTGATTCAGGAGGTCCCCAAAAGGCAACTCCCATTATTCCTAGGCATGACTTTAAGCAGAACAAGGGGACAATCAGGGATCTGAGTGGAAGTGCTAACCAGCTTCAAGGCTCTTTGCCACTCCATCTTTCTAACGCATACAGGGATTAGTTTTGCATCTCTCCTGGTATTCAGAATAGTGGCTGATCACCAGTGACACTATATTGAGTGCACTGAGAGGCACATTCCACACCAGGTGTTCATCTAGGGTGGGGGAGCAAGGTACGGAGAATAGCCCCAAGAGCAGGACCCTGATCCCAGACATGAGATAATTATTTGATTCTTTTGTTCCATGCAGAGGATAAAGAGAACACTTAGTAAGTGCCAGAAAACTCAGCTAAATAATATTTAACTGCCAAAGTACTACATGGAAAATTTGCTCTGAACCCTAAGCTCGCCAAGGGCAGAGACTCTAGAGCTCATGTGCAAAGTCTTCATAATGAAATAACAACATTTCAGATGGGTCTTTGAAAGAAGGGGAAAAGTGCATTGATTCTCATATTGACAGTAGAATGCTAAGCACGCATAAAGCACTTCAAACTTCAAAGTTGCTCCCTCACCCACTCAATTCCTGCTGCCATTTGACAAATGAGAAAAACTGAATCCCACATAGATGAAATGACAAAAGTCCACAGCCAGTTGACAACAGAACAAGGCCTCCTATCTGGTCAGTCCATTTGACTCAATAAGGAAGAAAAAGATGACAAGATCAGACTGAAATGTTCCTCATTGACTCATAGACCAAACAATGCCAAGGATAGAGAAAATTAGTAGCTTGCCACAGACCTTGCCGAAGCTGCCTTTGCCCAACACCTTGATGAAGTTGAACTCATCCAGGCCTAAGCGCTTGGCCTGGCCTTGCCGAACTTCACCGTTCTCGCCAGGACTTGCTAGCTGGCCATCAGTGGATGATGATGCTCGGTGCTCCTCACCTCGGTTGTCAAATGACAAGGCTTTCCGGATGTTGTTTTCAAGTTCTTTTAATTCTAGGGCCAAAGAGAAGATGATACTGTATTAGTGCATGCCTCATGAGCTCTTCCTTTTAGGACTCAATACTCAGAATTGAGGTCTCAACCCTCTTTCAATTCTTTATAGCAATGAATCCAGGATGGCATCTCTGCGTATATTTCATTGTGTATCCAACACATTTTCCTCTGCACCTACTGTATAGTGGACCTCGGTAAGCAAAGAGGAGGAAGACATAGGTCCTGCCCTAGAGGGTTCCCTGCGAGCAAAGTCCTTCAAGTTACGTTAGGGCCAGCCATCTCTCTGAAAGCCCCCTAGTAGCCTAGTACATAATTCTAGGTGTAGTACAAGAATCTGGGCTTTTTCTGAAACTCTGCAGTTACAAAGGCAACAGGTACCTGCCAGTTTCCTTTGAAAATTAGAACAGCAATGAATCTAAAAATCACCATACCATATCATTGGTGATATAATTAATTAATCTATATGGCCTATAAAGC